CGATTCACCCCCAACTCTCAGATCCACTGAATCTGCCCCAGTGGCGAGAGAAAACTCTCCTGAAGATATCTCCCCACTGCAGGGTATGTACCGCTGGTGCTAAATTTAGCCCTGAGTAGGGTTAATTTAGCAGGAGGTGATCCTTCGATCCATCCTCCCTTAGCGCTACACTGGGAATGAGGCCGCCACCCAGTAATCACTGGATTAGGGTAAATTTCACCACCCTAGACCCAGTCATCAACTGAGGTCAGGAAGGTGGATGGCGAAATAACCCTATTCTCGCCACTTCCTGTCAGGCACTCAACCAGGCTCAGCGTGCCTGATCAATCGCAAACTGATATACTGCAAACACCACTTGTATTCCTTCTTCCCTGCTGGATAGTCACTGGAGATGGAGAACCACCATGGATCTTCTCGCCAGTTAGTGCCAGATGAAGAAGGTGCCCCTGTTGCGCTCAACCCTCTGAGCTCCAATTCCAAGCTCCGCTCTGATACCAACTGTTATGAACTTGGTTGTTTGACAATTTGATTGCCACTCACACACAGAAGAACTCACACACGCCCATACATGCATGAGACAAAGGGGAGGAAGAGACAGAGTCCACCTGCACACAGACCAGAGATAAACAGCAGAATAGCAACCATGCACTACACACAGTGTTCTCTCTCTCTGATGAACTCCCAACAACCAATCACAGGATGACACTGCGAAGATCACAATTGGAAAGTAACCAAGATGATGAGCCAACTCAACACAGTTTACCTCAATTATCGTAACAGAGTTCAACCCAGTATCTCGCCACTCAAGAACCACACACTCCACTCACTACTACACTCTCAGAGTCTAGCGCTACACAGTAACATCCTCCCAGAGGCCAGCGCCATACACCCAGATGCAGATCATGAACAGCGAAGTAGTCTCCAATGCCGATGAGTCACTCTGACGATGAAGAAGGCAGCTATGGCTGCCTAGCTGCTACCGCAGCACTAGTACCCCACATGTACTCAGTGAAGACCTCCGATATAGTCCTGCCAGCGCAGATATCCCCAGGGGATAGATGCGCTGAGTACAGCCCCAGCTATGGCTGTCTGAGAAGGCTGGCTATGGCTGCTCCAATGCGCTGATGTCTCAGGTGCCGCTGTAGGYATTCAGCGCTGCACAACTTGGTTGGCCCCGAACGCTACACGCGAAAAATGAGAAGCCAAAAGTCCCTAACTCTCGGTCCTACTCTACCTATAGTTTTCGGCCTAACCTACTGGTCCGAAACTACTACCGGTACCATTGCCCTAAGGGCCTACCCGGCCTCTACAGCAGTCCTACAGCACTTAGGGCGCAGTGCCCCTTAGGGCCTGCAAACACTCAAACGCTACCGCTGTTAATTCTATTCTATTTTTAGAACAGCGGACAGCCCTCGGTGCGACCACAGAAAAACACAGCAATCACACACTAACAAACATGCCGCAAACTCAGCAGGCAAAACCACACCGTAGTGTACAACCCCGCAGACAGATACGGCAGCGAACAGCAAGTCATTACATTCTTACCCCCCCGTGGAGCGAGGACATCCGAGCTAAGGGTGGAGACGAGGAGATCGGCGAGGGAGATTACCCTTTTGAGCCGCCTCGTATCTCAAAACAACTGACTTGGCTGTCTTGATCAGGTCTCTTCTGTAACAAACATGCCGCAAACTCAGCAGGCAAAACCACACCGTAGTGTACAACCCCGCAGACAGATACGGCAGCGAACAGCAAGTCATTACAGAGAAGCCATAGCCGCCACCTGATTGAGATCCACTGTGTGTGTGGGTGTGCGGCAGAGATGCTGGAGACGAACATTCTTGTACATTGATAATTATATTGGAGATGACATCTTCAAGTGTGAACTCGATTTGGCTTCTCACGTGTGAACTCTCCTGTGAATATGCATTGCTGTATGCGAGGTTGAGCTTGACGAGTACTTGGCTCATATCAATTTCCTTTGTGCTGCCCACTTTGGGTGCCCCTCGGCCTTTTCCTGTATTTTCCTGTCTCCATGTGAGCACCTTCAAGATGTGCCAAAGAGTCAGTGCCTGGGTTGTATGGAGTGCCTGCAACACTATTATTAGGGGACCTCCTGTGCGCGGGATGCCTGTGTGTCCGTGTTTTCCCTGGTGATGACAGACATTCTTCCAAGTTACTCCTTTGGCGCATGTTGGATGTGTGGACTGCCTTGTCCATGCTGCTCTGGTGCCTGGCCGCCCATCTGCTTGCCTCATGTTGCCTTGCTGCCCTGTTGGTTGGTAAGCCATTTGCCTGCCCACCTGCCTCTCCTTTCTGCCTGTCCTGCTCACTTGACCGCGTGTCCGCTCACATTTGGATATTACTTGTGTTGTTGCTTTACTTCCTGCCTCCTTGCCTGTCCTCCCACCCTTTGCTTCACTGATGCCCGCTGCATGGCTGCCCATCTGTTTGCACTGTGTAGCCTCGCTGCTTGCCTTGTTTGGCAATGTTTGCTGTGCCACCCTGCTGCATGAGTTTGGTGCTCTCCTGCATGCGTGCCTCCCTTCCCCCGCCACTCCTCCGTCCTCTTATACTTGCCTTGTTGCCTTGCAGCGTGCTTCGCTGCTCACCCGCCTGCTTGACGCTTCGCCTGGCGGCTTTGCCTCCTTCCTCCTTGCCCGCCTTCCCGGCCCTTTGCTTTACTGTTTACCTGTTGCCTCGATGCCCATTCGTTTGCCCTGCGCTGCCTTGCGGCTTGTCCACTTGCTTTTCTCTTGCTACCTAGTTGTACTACTTGCCTCCCTGCCCTCCCTCCTGCTGCTGTATTGCTGAATGCTTGGCCTTTCTTCTGGTATACTATCCTTCAAAGTGTTTGCTGTCCTTTTACTCTCTTTGCTCTTTATCTCTGTGGTTTCATCCCCTTCCCTGTGTGCCTATAGTTCCGGTACTGACTGATCGAAGTGCCCTTCACACTCCCAGGGAGCTGATGTACATTTTCGGTCACATCCACTCCGGGATCCAAGGGAGTACATTAGTACCTGGATACGCCTGCGTTTCCTGGTCATGACAGACAAACCTCGTGTGGCTTCCTTTTCTTTTCTTCTTTTTTTTTTTTTTTTTTTTTTTTTTTTTTTTTAAGAAAAACACCCACCAAGTATGCTAGGAATGCTCTGGAGGTTGGTGACAGACATTTGCCTTTGTGAATCCACAGTCTGCAGAGTTTTGCATACGACATGATTGGGGGTATAATCCGCTCTGATCCTCTTGCCTTATGTGGATTGCCTTTGTGTGTCGGCGCTACTGCATTGCGGTGTCGCCTGTTCGTAATCAACTGACGCCGCAATAGCGCCGGCACACAAAGGCAATTCTTTTACTGCAGATTTCAGACTGCGAAGCCTGAGCGTCAGAGGATCGTCAGTTCGTGTAGTCTTTTTTTATTGGAATTTGCGTTGGCACATCAAACCATGCACATCTCCAAAGAACATGCTAAAATTGAGATTTGTCACTTGTGTGTTTTGCCCAATGCCTGCCCACATCTGCATTTTTTTTTTTAGCATGTTTGCAGATGTAGCAATTTTATAAAATTGCAGGTAACCGTTGCGCGGTGTCTGGGATATGTGAGTGAAAAAGATCACAAACATATGTTCAAAACACATGCGAAGTCAAAACTTCCATGAAAGTTCGATACAAACTTCAATGAAAATTTGACACGATGGACGATTCAGATAAAGTTCAACACAGGTGTGGCGTCACCGACGCCGTGTTTCAATGGCTGCCGCCTCCAAGCAACCGGTACCTCCTCCCTTTTCGGAGGGAAACATCATTGCAGACTCTGATATTGCCCGTACAGGCCCTAGACTCAGACTGGTTGGACTGGTACCCGCCTAGACCTAGCCTACAACTACTGGGCCTCTAAAAATGCCAACTTTTGTCTTCTTCTGCTCAGCCTCGAGCACCTGGCACATCTACCTCTACTTGGTGTGGTACCGGCCTACCTGCTACTTGAGTGTTTTCCGGGGTACCGGCCTACCTGGTACTTGAGTGTTTTCCGCTGCAACCCTCAATGTCACGGCCACAGGTAAGTGCCGGCCATTCGGGCCTTCTGAACAAGTGCCCTTGAGGGTCACACACACACTCAAGCCGACAAGCACTCGGACAGGCATGCAGACCAGCAAGCATGCACCCACACAGACTTAGAAAACTCAGCAACAAGCGGGAAACTCAGCAAGGCATACATTCCATGAGCAAAACTCAGAAATCACCTGTGTGCCTCAGTCCGTGTTTGGCAGGTCATTACACAAGTCATAATCTGAGATTATTTGGAGAGTGCGAAGGTTCAATTCTGTGTCCTTCTTTTCAATGGGTACTTGCTGGTGCTCGTCAGTCAGTCAGTCAGTCACTCACTCACTCACTCACTCACTCACTCACTCACTCACTCACTCACTCACTCGACTCACCTGCGTGTTGATGGCTGGGACCTTATGGATTCTGAAAAATGCCAGCACCTCCTGAAAGTCCGTGAAGACTCCAGCGAGCTCCTGATCGTCTTCTGCAAATTTCCCAAAAAACGAAAAAGGGGAAAAAAATAGAAAAGCTTTCTTTCGTGAGGTTAGAACCAGGGCTCCAGTTGTTAAAAAGAAGAAGGGAAAAAAAAAAAAAAAAAAAAAAAAAAAAAAAAAAAAAAAAAAAAAAAAAAAAAAAACCGAAGGCATGGCTCCAGCGAGCTCCTGGGGACCCAAGCGAAGAGATCAACGAGAGACGAAAAAGACTTCTTAATCTGAACACAGACAACACAGTCCCATTCCGAAGGGTGGAAATACCAAACGATGAAAACAACAAAAACCTGCAGTCTGTGATCGCTGATTGACTATGCCTCCCTCTCACCTTTTTCTTCCCAGGGAAAAAAAAAAAAAAAAAAAAAAAGACAGGCTCTCCTTGCCCAAGAGGGCTAGCTCAGTTGGTTGAGCACGTAAGTGGCACTCAGGAGGTTGTGGGTTCGATAGAATCGATACCCAACATCGTCCTTTCGATCCTCGCGGCCTCCTTGGGGTATGCTTCATCTTCACCACCAGAGACTGTTGGCTTGGGCGTCCTGGATCGCTGTGGAAGTAATTGGTTCTTTCCAGCTCGTGCCAGGTGTTAGGCGCTTGGGTACTGCTCCCTGCACTGAGCAGAGATAGGTAGGCGTAGACCCATAACCTTAGGAAAGCTTACGCCTGTCTCGTGAATTTACGCTCTGATTCAGCGTCCATAAAGATGGTGGTGTACAGTCTTCGACCCTAAACCCTGTAGTTGGCCTTTGAAACATGGATCTGGGTTTCCTTGCTGGTTGGGTTGCCGTGCACCTTGGAAGTCTGGAAGGTGGGTATACCAATTCAAGAACACAGCCCGAGGTAGGTAGTGTGAGACGGAAAATACTGAGAGAAGAAAATAGCATAGTAAATACAGTTGTCCCCCCCCCATATGAGGAGAAGGCAGCCTGCATTATGAAAAAAGAAAAAGAAAAAAAAAGGCTCTCCTTGTTAACTCATGGCTACATAAAAGAGGGAAAACATTCAGGTCGCAACAGAACAGATCTGAAATCAGTGTAACGCGCACAGAGAGACAATTTACCAGAAGACGAACGGGCCGAGCTGAATTGGAACTCGGAACACCCATGGACTGCGGAACTGCTCACAACACTTCAGGGGGACCAAGGGGGACCTAAGGGGGACGCCTGTGCGACAGGGTACCGTAAAGGAAGGTCTGCCGGCGCGGGATGCTCTTAGCCATTATTAACCCTGAGATGAGAGGTGGGATGGTACCTGCACTCTTGAGCTGGCATGCCAACCGCCCTACCTTGCACGTGTACTACTGAAACAGGAAAAAAAGAAAAAAAAAGGGAAATAGTACGAAATACAGACTCAAGTTAGAATCCAGGTACCTTCAGATGAAGAGAATAAAGTCATATTCTGAATTGCCTGGGGCTGGTCAGTTCAATGATGATATCTAAAGGCCATCGCCCTTAACCACCGCTACCTTTCCCATATGTCGGCCTGGGCATCTAGTAGCCTACACCTGAAAAATATCCGCCACGCCGCCGTCGGTATTTTTCATCAACGCCGATTCAACGGCGTGTGCAACGAACCTCCCAGTTCAACACCGATGAGAGCACACATTCACACCACTTGCATGCATGAGGTCACACGAAGTTCACGCTGAAGACCAGAGAGATTAAGACCAGATAGCGGCAGCTCAAGAATTCCAACAAGTTAAACAAGATCAATAAGAGTTCCGGGTCACCGGCGCACAACAGTGCATAACATAGGTATCCAAACATCCAACAGGATCTCCCAGGTAAGTATCTTCTTCCTCCCTGCTCTTCTCTCTCTGCTGTATCACCCCTCCTTGCTGGTCTTCTCCCTAGCTTATGACCTCGCTGTATCTTCTCTCCCTACATGCATACACACTTAACTTCTACTCAAAGATCTACTCTGAATACACCCACTGTCAACCCTACTAACCCCTCTGGAGTCTACTACTAACAACTAGCACTAACACTTCTGCACTGGCGCAGCTATGGCT